TAAAAGATTAATATTATCAACAGAGGACAAAAAGCTGAATTTGAAACAAAACTGATATATTTAGATGTATTGTGTAAACATCAAGTGACAATAATACATAATTTAGAGCTATTTTCCAGTGTCACACTTCATTTCATTGAACTAATTATCACCTTGGCAATATTAATCTTAAACAGAAATTTGGTCTTCATACCTTTGTAAATATTTAGTTACACAGCTCACTTATTAATACCCTGCATAAACAAATTATAGAATATGTCACAAGTATTATAATTATATTAATAAAGATGGCCTAATCATACTATAATAAAATGCGTGACAGTATACCTATGTGTTTATTTTCTATACACTAACTGAACAACTACATCAAGCTCTTGTACATTAATGTAAATTAAAAAATACTGATTATTACATGTTTTTTTGTAACCAAATGGTGCCAGCTCATATTTGTGATTGAGGGCCATAAAAACTAATACAAAAATATTTTTCATGTAAATTTGATAATTTAATGTGATTCAAGTCATCTCTTAAGGCCAGACTTAACATCAGATTAAGAACAGATCATACATATGGACATTGTCAAATACGGCGAATAACGGCTGCTACCTTTGAACGAAAATTTTTGAAAGACTATCTAAACAGACATAGAAAGAAGACATCTTAGGAAAGGTCAAAACCTACAAAGTGTTGTAGAATTATCATGTAGATGATGATAGTGATGGTACCTTAAACAAACATCAAATATGAACTATCTATGCACAACAACACAAAATAAGTTTCTCTTTATATAATATCGGTTTTAGGATATTTTAAAGAAATAAATTTTTCCATATCCTTTTTCAATGAAATTATTTATCTCATCATGGAGCAAGTTTCTGTTTAATGAAAAATGAATACAGCATTTCATTAACCGCCTCACATATTGTTTCTTAAAAAAAATTATATGCTTAAGAGTTTAAAAACTGTTCTGATTCTTCTATAGTCATTGGAGCACAGATTTAATCTCAGTTTAAATTATTTATTGATTTAGTTATAAATAATAGTTTTGTCACCTGTAGGTTTATGCTAACAAATTTCAAACACAGTAAAACACCATAAAACTTTTGTGATCTTTGCCATATGATTGTTACGTATATATATCAACATATTGATATATATATATATATATATATATATATATATATATATATATATATATATATATATATATATACTACTACACTAATTGGTATTGACCTATCCAGGAGCAACAATTCTGCACCACACTATCTGCAGGTGGTTTATCTAGTCAGTGTTTAGTATAATATGAAGACTATGTAGTTTATATAAATTAACCTAAATATTAAATATTTAGGGAGGCATTTATTTAGGTATACTTCATCTAATTTAGAAACCAATGTATGTCATTATCTATGTCAGAGATCGAAGTTAACATAGTTGCCAAAGTATAAAAAAATCCTGACTCCATTTTAAATCAAACAGATCACATAATTATTGCAAAAGTATTACCATCTCTTTACCACGACTATTTAATTCTTAGGTGACATTTTTGAAATAAAACACACTAATTTTGTTCTAAAAAGAACATATTTTATTAAATAGGTAAAAATATAAAACAAGAGGTATTCACTTTAAAATCCAAAGTAATAAAGTACAAAAAGTGTCAACACTGCAACTGTCAAATAAGTGTTACCAATTTATGCCATAATTTCACCTTTGTTTGATTACAGTTACAGTGTGTTCTGAACAAATGTTCTTCATAAAAACGCTTTATAATGCATTTATACAAATTAAATGAAACATATTATTGTGTATTTCTTTAAGTTAACATTAATCGAAATTTTTAAATATTATTTCTATGCATATATAATAAAATATGTCTAGTGGTTGTAATGCCAGTGTACTCAGCAAAGTGATTCTAAAAAAGAACACACCTATCGCCTAAATATTTGAGGCTATGACGCCGATGACGTGCATTGGTATGTAAATTAGATGAAGTGTATGTGATATGATTAATTAAATGTTAAATATATATAAAAAAAATTAAATAGTTTAAGGCATATTTTGTTTGGACAGGAGTGTGGCCTTTTGGCTTACAAGAAGAGCCACCATTCAAACTAGAAAAAAGGGATCTTGTCTATTTCTATCCAATGCTATTTTGGCCTTCCTCACCTACTACTTCTAGAAACTATTTTCTGACTAATAACAAATATTTGGGTGAACACAAAGAAATAACACATAACGTGATGCCACCATAGTATATCAATTACAATTTCAATACCTGTATCATAATGGGCATCATTATGATACAGATTTTATTCCAAGAAGATTTTTTTACAAAGGGTCTATAGCTTTATTGCCTTAATTTTTTTTGACTCCAAGTTTTCTTTCTTTGGATAGTTTTAGTATATGCCAAAAACCAACAAGTCACAAAACATAGGGAAATAACATGTGAATATAAAAAAGAAGGGACTTTGGATTAAAAATCAAAAATGTACTAGATACTATTATTGCAGCAAACTCTGATAACTCAGCACCTCAAGCTTCAATTTTTCTAAACCAGTACTTATGACAACCTACTAAGATGTTAAAGGAAATAAATATAAGACTAATCCAGAAATTTGGACATACTATACATTATGGATTCTTCTTGGTAGGTGAGAAATGTAACCAGCTAAAGTTATGAACTGCAATCCCAAAACTTTATGAATTACAAATAAAGGTAAGTTAAACCTCAGATCACAATGATTGTGTGTGATGTTTATTAGTGCTTTGTTTGAAAGAGTCAACTTTTTCTTGGATATTGTTAAGTAAAAAAATATATGAGTCATATTAAAAACCATAAACATATTTAGTACTAATATTTTGTTAATTCACGAATTTTCTAGGTCATATACTACCTAATTCTCCAAAAGGGTCGAATAACAACTTCAGGTAACAAGAATGCAGCTGACGGCCCGACCCTCCAAATTTACCAGACGAGAAGGCAATCGACTTTTCTAGTCTAGCAGTATTGGATATAAATAACAGGATTTTCATTGTGGGAAACCAGTCAAAAGAAGCTCGCGCTCGCGTTTAAAATGTAACGCAAATATTGATCAATTATGTAATTATTAGTCAAATAAATTGTTGTAGAGTGGTTTAATAAATTGATAATAAATTATCATATTTTAGTCAATTAAAATAAGAATAAATTAGAATTAATAAAGACATTACAATATCAACAATTTGGATATATGTCTGTAACACTTTACAAGCATATAAAACTGTTCATCTTAGAAGTGCATATATCCAATGGCATATATGTGAGCTACATAGTGCTTCCACTAAGATGCAGACAGCTCACATATTTGCCATTGGATATATGCACTTCTAAGATGAACAGTTTCAGTTCAGAGTATGACTATATAAGAATAACAAAAATACTTTTAATAACCTGTTCCAAAAAAAGGAAAGGAGAAATGAAAACACAAAGCAGGAACAGTAATGACAAAGAAAGTAAGACAACACAAATTAAAAAATTATACATTAAACATAATATAGTTTTATAAACATATCTAAAGACAAATATGCAATGAGGAATATAACCAAGCTTAGTTTATATTAATTTTGAAAATAATAAAAAAAAAGATGGAATTAAAAGCCAATACTTACAAAGATTCAATGAGAGATTTTTTGTCCAAAAAATATATATTAGCAATCTCAAATAAAAAAGTATCTACCTTCAATTACTATTAATTTGTAATGTCATGAGTATCACAAAGATAGAAGATTAAAAATGAAGGTAGAAAAAGATTTAAAATGAAAAACTGAAGTTAAAACAAGAAAGCTTTTATTTTCAATATTTAAGAGTTATTCACATACAGAGAACTACATACCTAACTGGGAAACAATTTTTTAAGACTACTGCACATTCATATGTTTGAAAATCGAATAACTTACTTAAAATTTTGATCTATAGAAATGTTTATCATGAAATACAAAAACAAAATGTTTTTATTATTTTTGTACAATCTATGAAAGCTCTGAAATATTCATCATGTTTCTGAAAATTATAATAATGAAACTATGTAATTTTATATTATAACACTCAAAAATAATTTTAAAGATAAACTTAATAGTAGCAAAAACCATCTGTTGTTATTTTGTAAGGAATTATTTTTATCACTTTTTTACTAAAATCAGATATTAGAGCTTCTAAAAATTGATTTGTATTAATTTGTTGTGTTCACAATTCCTTCAACAGTATCAATAAAAAATTTTGGCATAACTTATGAGATAATAGAACTTCCTATTCCAGATAATAAAATTCTGTCATAACAACTAATAGTTTTATTATTTGGGATTGGGAGAAATAATTTTAGATAAATTATTCACTGTTTTTATGGAATCACATGTCCATGACGTCACTAACCCTATGTCAGTGATACCAACCTATTTTTGGAAATCAACATTTATTTTTGGAATTTAATAATTTTATACTTAGCCAAAAAAATTATTTTTGGGTGACCCTGTAAATGGTGTATTAGATATACCTACACTTATTAAATATTAAGATAAGGATTTAAATACTAAGTTCAAGAGTATTTCAGTTGTTATTTAGCATTATATTGTACTATCAAATGTGAAAGTAAAAATGTAGTAGAGTTTCTTCCTTTTAAAGAGGTCACTCTATGGAAAAGGAATGTGAACAATTTACATATTAAAATGAACACCAATCCCATTTTTCCTAGACTAAACAATCAAACTACGAAAATAGAAAACGATATTCTCAACATTATATATTGTCAACAATGTGATTGTCCAGCTTGAATAATAGCTTGTAACAGACCTTGGATTAAAAATCTGAATCTCGTTTTCAAGTGTTTACCTCACCTCTGTTTACACCTTACACGCCTACTGATTCTAGAATTATTCTTTAATCGCTGAAGATATTCTTTTTATATAAATAAATATGTAGATACAAATATAAACTACTTGAATTCGGGATAAATGTTTACCTTTTTCAGTAGCATAATTATTCAGATGTTCCTCGTCTCTTGACACCTGGGTGATGATGGAGGATGCTTCCATTTAAACATTTGCTTGTCACCACCAGTTTTCTTATTTACCAGCACATTTACCACATTTTCTCAATTATTTCCGCACTAACTCGATGTGCAATAACGGCTCTTTTACTATTTTTTTCTGATACTTCGCACAACTAAACTCAACAACAATCAACATACCCATAAACTGTTTTACCAATAACTGTCAAAGTTTAGAAGCGGGAGATTTAAAATTGGAGAGGCCATTTAAATTTACAAATAGATACTGAAACGGAAGCAGTAAATTTAACATGAACGTCAAATCACTTCAAGATAATTAAAAGTTCTTCTGGAACTGTAAAAAATATCAAATGGCTTTATCTATATCACCATACAAACCGATTAAAGTATGAACAAAAACTTATTTAAAAACTTATTAAAAAAATGCTGGAATAGGCCAAGGTATTTACCAATTTACTCGATGCAATTTATCAAATACGTCAAATAGTTTCGATTGCTACGTGACTTTTTCCTTCTTCTCAAAGAGTTTATTATGGATATTTGTATTCAGCCACATTTGTGTATATAGAGTTGCATAATTTCGGTTTCACAAGTATTCTTTGATTGTTTATTATTTTAAAAATAAGTGTAAAGTGTAAATTTTTTGATAGTACTAAAAAATACTTATTAATTGGATTAAAGTGTACCAAATACATATACTGAAGATAAAAATATATAATATTTATCTAGAGTAATTTTGATATAATCATAGAACATAGGAACAAAACATAGTCATAGATTAATAAATATAACTAACTTCTGCGGTGTTGCCAATTTTTTAATTTGCCCTGAAATAAAGCTAAAGTTTTTAATTTCCAAAGTAAAAGGGAAAATCCCAGTGGTTGGCTATAGTACCATAGTTTAAAAAAAAGCTTACATAAAAGTAATACTTCTTGTGTATGATAGTATATTTTATTAAACTATTTAAAATTAATCCAAAGGATTACAAATCTTCAAAATGTTTCTAACTTGATGAGTTGGACCATCATCCAGTGCCGTATAAAGGAGCGGGCGAACCGCCCCAAATTTTGAGGGGCGCCAATATAAAAATAAAATATTTTTTATATTGTTCTGAAGTTATTTTCTTGTGGCATTTTAAATTAATTACTATTTAACTGGGAATAAGCTACAATTAAAGATAAAAATACGTTTATTGACGTTTCAATTTCCACTTCGGAAATCGTTCTCAAAATACAAACAGTAAATTAAACTAATTTTGTTTTTTTTTTTCAAACGATTTCCGAAGTGGAAATTGAAACGTCAATAAACGTATTTTTATCTTTAATTGTGGCTTATTCCCAGTTAAATAGTAATTAAAATATTTTTTACATTCAATACTTTTTTCGATTTTATAGAATAACTTTGATTTTTAGTAAGACATTGATTGAATAATAATTGCAATATTACTTATAAGAAAACTATTTTTATGACCAGAATTCTAATAGCTCAAAAAAAATTAGTAGATAAGAAAATTACTAATAAACATAATGAAACGCTTTTATTACACACACAACATTGATGCTGGAAAAGATCATTTGTCATGTATTAGGTATCTCAAGAATCTCACTACAAATATGAACTAGTTTATGAATATCCAGCGATACTATATACTGGCACCCTGGCACTGTTATTAGCCTCAATACTTACAGAATTTTGTCTTTCTGAAAACTTTGCATTAAATAAAGCGTGATTGTGTGCGTGCTTTAAAGTGAAATATAAAAAAGTGTTGTTACATATTCGTTGTGGAATTAACTAATTTTTACTATATTTACGTTACATAAATTTCGGTAAGTAGGTATCCACGTATTAAATAGTATAAATATTATTAATTAATTTTATGCTAAGAAATCATACTATTAATATAATTTCAGGCTAAAAGTTCGATTATAATGCCTCCAAAAAATTATGAAAGTATCAAAATCGCAACAAAGAACAATAAGACAAAGAGTAAAAAAACGCAAAAACATTACTGTGTTCTTTAAATTAGAAAAAAACGAGACCCAATTAACTGAAACAAATTCTCAATTATAACTGAGTGAGGATTCCGGCTAGAATTATGTATGTGGTTTGGAAGAAATACCCTCAACCTCAAACCTAAAGAATCAACAACCGAAATCAAATCTGGAACTAACTACTGTTAGCAAACCAAATTTTAATGATAATTTTAAATATAATGATCTGGGTACTTGAACTAAATTCTACAGACATAAATCATATCCTTGCATTTGATTTTTTGATAAGAAAAGAAATTGATTCTAATTAAACTTATCCGCGAGATTTGGATGATCGTAATTTTAACCCTTAAATGGTCACACCGGTCTCTGAGACCTTTAGTGTCACATTATGCTGAACTTTGGCAACCCTGTTTGAACTGCGGTTCCCCCCTCCTCAATATTCTTCCATCAACTACCGAGGTACGCAACGCGTGTAACCACGATTAACGATTAGTATTAGTGTTAGTGTATGTTCTGCAAGTATATAAGGTACAAGTTGGTGTTAGAAAGTGTTACGGTTTCACAGGCCGGGTATTTCGCATTAAGCTGGTAATCATACACGTATGTAAGACCGGATGTTCACATTGTGCATTTTGTACATAATTAGTCTTAGTCTTAGAATCCGTGAAAGACTTGTACAGACGAAGGTTAGACCAAAAACTGGAGGAGTTTAGTTTTGAGAACATAGACGAAACATATAAAATTCTGCATAAAGGAAGCAGCAGCGGAAGCCTTAGGTTGCGAAGAGAGAAGAACAAATAGATATCAACAACGTCTATCAGAAAGCACGGAAGAATGTATTAAGCAAAAGAAACAGTTATATTATATAAATGGTTAAGCTCAAAACAACAAGTGAACCTAGAACGATACAGAGAGAAGAACAGAGAGGTAAAAAGATTAATAATAAAAGATAAAAATGATAACTGGGAATCAACATGTATAAACATCGAACAATACATAGGAGATACAAAGAACTCAGAATCCTGGAAAGTGATAAAGAGTCTGAAAGAAAACACACAGGAAAAAACACATTTTGCTTTCATAAGCGAAAAACAATGGAATGATTACTACCAAGAACTCCTGACAGAAAAGCGAACAAAATTCATGGAAAAAAACAACAAACAACAAATACAAAGGAACAACTAAATTTATCATTGGAAGAAGTAAAAAAGAACATAAAACAAATAAAAAATAATAAGTCTGCAAGCCCCGAAGGGATAGCACACGAGCTAATTAAATACGGCTCTGAAAAATTGTTCCGTATGATACATACTATGTTTCAGAGAGCCTTGGACACCGAACAACAACCTGAAGAATGGTCGACAGCCCATATTATCTCTATTTTCAAGAAAGGGGATAGAAGAAAATGTGAAAATTACATAGGCTTAAACATTTTACCATCTATAGGAAGATTATATGGAAAAATAATAAAGAAAAAAATAGAAAAACAAATCCAAAATAAAATAGAGGACCACCAGGCAGGTTTTACAGCTGGGAAATCATGTGTTGACCACATCTACACTATACAACAGCTAATAGAGAAGAAGATGACAAAGAACAGACCAGTCCATCTAGCCTTTATGGACCTAAAAAGGCATATGACTCTATGCCCAGACAACGACTGTGGGAAGCCATGCAACAAATAGGAGTAGAAGATAAGCTGATCTATGTAGTGAAGTCCATGTGCACACATAATAACGTTACAGTCAAGGTAGGTAACAAGTTTGGAAAACCATTTAAAACCAGGAAAGGTCTCTTACAGGGCTGCTCGACTTCACCTACACTTTTCGGCTTCGTTTCACGGAGTTTTAAACTGTAAACAATTATAAATTTAATTTAATTTAATCATTTATTTCTTTGACTAAAAAGAAACAAAAAACTAGTGTTAATTGTTGATGTAGATAAGTGAGTCAATTGATTTATACAGTTGTATAGGGTAAAGTGTGCAAATCGCGGTCACCTAAGAAGAAAATTTAATATAAAAAAAAGTAAAACTCTGTGAATCAAATTTAAGCCGTCAATCCGTAATTTGGGGTTTTAACTTATTGCAAGATACATTTAATTTCAAAAATATAAAATTTTTGTCTTTGACAGAGTCAAAAAACAAAAAAGTATCTTTGACCGGTATTGTCACCATACATGGACAATACCGGTCATGAGTGTGGGTAATGCCAGTCAATTTGGTTGTGTTATTATTAAAATAAAAATCAATATCTAGTTAACATTTTTTTGTTATAAAACGATTAACGAATGTGGCTTAATGGGTCATAATTCAAGTAAATCAGTAAGAAAGGTGAAAAAATATTTTTTATTACAAAACAAACAAAAAATAACAAAAATATGTGTTTTGCACTGCACTCTGAATAAGCCCATCGTGAGCAAACGGTAAATATATACCACAATTCATTGTTTTTGCCAAACTCGCTGTATACCAGGCATCTATCTTCGTATGCATCGTCACTGTTATCACATGATATATCAATATCCGATTCCAAAGAACTAGAATCAAACACCTTTTTCTTGTAATGCCAATTACAAGAAAAAGGTGTTTTATTACAAGAAAAATTATCTTGTAAACCCAAATTCTAATTTTCTCAGTTCTATTGCTGTTACGCCATAAAAAATTAAGCTAAATATTTTTTTGTGTGGCTATTTTAGCTTCTTGTTCGGCAGAAAATACTGATTTTCTACCTAATGAGACACCTTGAAGATTTTTATTTTTTATTCTTTCTTGCAATGTCGAAAAATGGATGGATTAATCCCTAAGGATTAATAGTATAGGCGTTGATTGAATAATCCAAATTATTTGGATTTTTCAATCAACGGTATAGGGTATAAATTATAGCATGGGGATAATACCGGTCAACTGACCGGCATTGCCTCCTGTTGGCATTTTTTTCTTAGAATTTTTTACTCGTAAACATATGTATTAAAATATTGATCTTTAAAAAATGAATAGGCAGCTAACGTCATTATAATCAATTGTAACCAATTTTAAGATCTACAAGTGAGTAAAAATGAATTAAGACCTTATATTACTCAACATAAAGATAAGATCGAAAACACTGAAAGCAGGTTAATAATATTTCTATGACAATGGTTTGCGCCAACTCAACGCTCGTCAGCAATCTGAATACAGAGTAGTGTAGCGACACGTTGGCA